CTTCATAAAGACTGAATGGTCGAAAATTTTTTTTTTGAGAGAAATTCCTTAAGATAAAGAATATCTTCATAGAGATCTGTTGACTAAACTTTATCGCTCCAACGAAACTTGGGTTTACATGAGTTTCCATTGAGGTCCAAATTCTTCTCATTAGCTTTTCTAAAAATTTAAAATTCTATGAAAAGTTGGTACACTCCATGGTGCTTAGCGGCATGCATTTTGAATAAGCCATAGTGCTGAGCTATATCGTAAAATATTGAAATAAAAATCTCTTATAATACACTAGAATATGAAAAAAGATTTAGAATTTTCTATATATCATTTTGCTCTATAAACATAGAAAAAAAAAAATAAGCTATTATGTTTTTAATGTGATCGTATGATCTTTTATTTTTTTTCTTATAAATGAAAAAGAGAAGAGTAAGATAAGGATCATTTAAATTCTACAAAAAAAAAGGAACAAGGAAAAAAAAATTTATTTTTATCAAACTAAGTCATTGAAATTAAGTTTTCATCGTAACTGTTTGCTGTGTTGTTGTTGGTGATGGTGGTTTCCAACTTTCAATTTTATTTGGAACTGTTGTATACGGTACATAAGCTTGACTTGTACCAGTTTTATTTTCAATATTGTCAATCATCCAAGGTTGTCGTTTTAATGGTGTAGTTGTTGGTGGGTCATCAGTAATATATTGTAACCAACGATGCCTATATAAATAAATTAAACATAAACGAAGAAGATCAATAACTGTTGAAATTGACTCTCTCGAGAAATTTTATTTCTTCTATGTCACCCTATCAAATAGCTGTTCGAAAATGAGTGCTGGTAGAATTAGTCAATAGTGATCATATGTACATTGTATTCGACTAATGATGATAATCGACTCTTGTTCTCTATCCATTTCATGAGCGACCAGGCTAATTTTCATATGATTTGATAACATTTTTCAAGCGCTTCAAAATGGTATAAAAATATCGAAGAAACAACGTTGGCCAGTCAAAGAAATCCAAAGACGACTATTTTCAAGATATGATTTTCAGCCTTTTCCTACTGATATGTAGTGAATTTCTATTTAAATAAAAACTAATATGAAATTCTGAATCAGCATTCAAAACTGAGTGGACTTAGATGTATTTCAACAATTTTCGCAACCTTTGTTTTTCGTCAAAAATTTTACTCTCGGCCAGGGCTGCCAAATCTCCTGATTTAGCCAGGAGACTCCTGATTTTTAGACTTTTCTCCTGGTGAAAAAATCTCCTGAATCCAGGAGCTGGTTTTTATGATTTTCTCCTGGTTTCTCCTGGTTTTTTAAAGGATTTTGTCACGTTTAATTGTAGTGATATTTTGAATCAATAAGACAAAGAAAAAGAGAGCTATCACACTATTTCATAGATGCAATAGACAATAAGAAAACACGTCGTTTCTGCTTGTTATGCCTGATAACATGCGTTTATTTGTGAGCTTATCTTCTTGATGGTTAAAATGTACCTCATGGAGAAAAACTAGTTTAGTTCACTTTTTCTATATCAACCTAGAATGCTATTTGTGAATTGACCTTTAGCCGCATGAAATTTTTGTGGGCTGATAACAGAAACGATTTGAAGTGCAATCTTATTGGTGCATAATTAGGAACTAAATAAATAATCATCTCAGTTGTACAAAGTTCTATAATTATCCTTTAAATAATTCAGACCTATTGAAACAAATTCAGTCTTCAGAAAAATATGGCCCTGTTCATAGGTGGCGAAATGTTTTGGATCTAGGGTAGGCTCAACAATTTTTTACAGGAGTCGCACCAGAAAATTAAAAATATGGAGTAAGCCAATTTTTTTGATGTCATCTTAATGAAACAAAGTTAGTGTTTCTCATTTCGAACTCGTATTTTGTAATGTATGACGCTGTTAGAGATAAGAAAAGCATTTACAACTTATGTGTCAAAAAACGTGCATTTAAGAAAACATGTCGATGATTATCTTCATTGACTTTCAACTCTCACAAGAATTGTTTTCCATCTGCTGTGCTAAAAAACAAAATAATGCCCAAGCAGCAGTATTCACAAAAACGACATTACATTATGAATGTTTTTACTGTGTTGAAAAGATATTGTTCTGCAGGAATATTTTTCTATACTCGTCGTTTTCTTGCTCCATTTCTTATGGCAATGGGAACTCTATTCAGTATTGGTGTTCCCGCATTTTTTCTCGTATTTGCATACATATTCAGATACATGTATGTAACAACTTTCTATTTCTACGTAATTAACCTACTGTAGCTCCAATCATAATTATATTTTTAATTTCAAGTCGTGTCTCGGTTATCTAAAAATCTAAAAATAAAGCAGGAATATGAATTCCTGAAGTCTTACGATTAGAAGTGTAAATCGCCGAGCTGAGTCGCCGCTGTCAGTGGGACAAAAAAAACTAACAGTTTTGAAGATTTTTCAATGCCTGAGATCACTCTTCAACAATGTTTCTGTCTAGGTTTTTTTATCAGTGTGTTCTCTACCATTGTTTTCTCTTTTTCCATCCGACAATTTCTCGGAAATAAGAAAACCTTAAAGAAATCGTCCAACAAATTCACTCGTCTCCGTCGACAAACAAAAAAAAGTTGAGTATTTTCAGTCGCTACCGAAAGAAAAAAAATAAAATCACACTTACACACCGCCGATCTATGAACTGGTTTACGCTACTACTTACGGAAGTGAAAATAAATTTTTTTCCAGGAACGAGAGTGTAAAAACAAGAATAACAATTTTTTTCCGGGAAAGACAGTGCAAGGACAAAATAACAATTTTTTCCAAGAAAGAGAATATACGGGCGAGAACAGCAAATTTTTTCTGAGAACAGAAAAATAATCGAGAAAAGTTGTTCTCATAACACTAATGATCGGGTAATGTAAACTTAGTCGCTAAAAATGATGAAAGTCTTTGGCAGCTACTAGCTGATATGATTCAGGGTTTTTATGCAGTACTTCGTCACTTTTAACGAAAGAACCTCACTTTAAATCATGGCTGACCAAAGATTTGACATTTATCCACACAAAACTAAAAGTTTTCTCAAAAACAGTTTCTAGGTCTGTTTCAATAAATGTTACTATTTGTTGCCGATAGCGACAAAAAATCTTGACGTCTGTACAAATTTTTTATGTACTGCACAAACCTATCAATTTGACGTAGTAGAAAACAATTATTTGAGCGTACCATAGTCTATGGAATCTGAACCTAAGATAGGCTTTAGTCTACTCGAGCCGTGTGATTCCATCATCTACGAATAGACGCTATCTAAGCCTTCATTTATTCCATCCACGAGCCTACCTAAGCCTTTAGCTGTCCAACCTAGAGTAGGCTCGAGCATACTCAGGACTTGTGACTTCTCCGTTCATGGTCATGTTACAAAAGTGACATGAACGATGTAGTTAATAAATTATTGTTCATGTATGCCCATTTTGTTTAGTTACATATTAATGTCTAATTAAACTTCATTTTCTATTTTGTCGGTATATTTTGATAAACCACTGTGAAATGAGTAGTAAAATAAATTCTATATAATTATGTTTTTATAAAAATATATATCACTTAGAGGAAATTTTCTCATCAGTAACTTAGTAGAAGAACATAACGAGTGATTAGATGAACGAAAACTTCAGTTTTCTTTGAGAGAAGACCACTAATTCATTTCCTGATTTCAATAAACATCTCCTGATTTTTCTCCTGATTTTTCAGTAAAAGTTCCCTGGTAAACTTCTGATTTTTTGCAAAAAACTCCTGGTTTTTTAAATTTGGATTTGGCAGCCCTGCTCTCGGCCCCCTCAGGATTGGATAAAAAAATGAATTTCATGAAAACTCTATTTTTATTATTTAGTCCTCTGCTATTTGAAGTTCTACTATCGTTTTATAATCTAAGACTTACTTTTCTCTATCAAAATAAATATTTGATGAAATTTATTATTTGATCCAATCCTGAGGAAACTGAAGGTGAAATTTTCAACGAAAAAAAAGATTGTGAAAATTGTTGAAATACACGTAAGCCCACTCAGGTTTGAATACTTATTCAAAATTTCATATTAGTTTTTATCCAGCTCGTATTTTTCTGATCGAAATCTACTAAATACTTGTAGAAAAAAAAGCTCAAAATCATGTCTCAAGAACGATCTTAAGATTTCTTTGACTGACTGCTGTTTTTTCTCAATGTTTTTATAGTATTTTGAAGCACTTGAAAAATACTATCGAATCCTATGAAAACTAGCTTAGTCACACTTATGACATGTGTAGAGAAAAAGAGCCGATTATTATCAACAGTCGAGTCCAATGTACATGCAACTGCCATTGACTATTTCTATCAGGACCCATTTTCGGACAGCTTCTATGACAGTGTGACATAGAAAAAATAAAATTTCTCGATAGAGTCAATTTCTACAGTTATTAATCTCAGCTCTTTGTATTATTTTGTTCAATGAAATTTTACCATTCAGGTGGAACTTGACTTGCATCATAATCAAGTCCAACACGATCAGCATACTTAACCCAACGACTACGACCTAAAATAAAAAAATAAATGTTTACCATCTAAAAATTTTACTTTTTTCTTTTATCTTACCAACGAAATAACGGTGATTTTGATAATAATGATTACCATATTTATCAGCACCAATACATTTACCAACTTTTAAATCATCATAACTAAAAATAAGAAATAAATTTTAAAAAGTAAATTTATCTTTTTCTTTTCTTTTTATACCGATAAAGTGCTAAAATAGTATTTTTTATTCCGCCATAATGGCGCATAATCATAAACCATTGTCGGACTTTTGCTAAAGCTCCTTCGGTCATTATCTGCAAGCAAAAGCAAGCAAAATTTATTTAATATCAATAATCAAAGGAAAAAAATTCACGGAAAAATTATCTATGATCTAGATTCACAAGAAACAAAAATATTTAGTTTAAATATATATAAATATTTAAACAAATAAGCAAAAAAAAAATATCCATATATTATTGAAATCATTAATTGTTTTTTATTGCCGTTTTTTCAAGATTCTCTGCTAATTTATCAATTGCATTCTCATCTAAATAAAAATCAAATTCATAAAAGTTTGCTTTTTTACTTTTTCTTAATTATAATATTTACTTTGATCAGGAATTGTAAATAATGATGTCCAAAATGATCGATGAATATCTTTAATCATTTGAATAGTTCGTACAGATCTATAGAAAATCGAAATTTTTTTTATATATGTATTCGTAAATTTTTAATCTAAATAAACATACACAAGATCTTGAGGATATTTTGCTGAATCTTCTGAACAACGAATAGGTGAATCACCAAGAAGTGTAGCTACACAAGCTGAACCACAAATATTTAATTGATGTAAACAATAACCTCCCTAAATAAACATCTATTTATCTATCAAATAAATTAAATGAATAAAAATACGAACTTCAAGTACTTCCAAAACACGTCCATTCGCTAATGAAAGTAACATATGAGTCATTTGCGAATAAGCACAAGCTGATAATTTTCCCCAACCCTAAAATAAAAAGTTATTTATACAATTCCTGCAGGATTAGAATACGAAATATGATGTTGATAATCATAGGAAGATTGTTTACACTAAATTTATTCAAAATCATTAAATAAACGAGTCTTGTTTTTTTTACTATGAACAAAAAACTAATAAGGAGAAAATTATATATAATCTGAAACTACAACATCGAGTGCTTTTACGAAAACCTGTGTTCATTATAATGAGCTCGCATAATTTCCTAAAGCTTCGAATTAGACGAAACTTCAATAGAATCCCTCTACGTCTATAACTTCATATTTAGAATCAGTATCGAATGATGTATAATGTATTAGTCCTCTTATAAAAAAAAAAAAGATTTTTTTTCCGGATTTAATCTCTTTAGGTTATATTGACATTTGTAGATCGTGTTTCGCAAGAAAAAAATTTTAAATCTATAAAAGAGAGGTAAATTCAAACTTACAATACGATCTCCTTCAGCAGCATCAAAACCAGCACAAACTAATACAAATTCTGGATTATACTAAAATTCAAAATAAATTCATATTTTAAATTAAAATATGAAATTTTTTATTTACTTCATAAGCAATTGGTAAAATAACATGATGAAAAGCATTTATATAATCTGCATCAACAGCTGGTGGATCCTATGAAAAACAAACAAAAAAAAAATTGTCTAATGAAATTTATTCTTTTTGTTTTTTAAATGTATATTTACAAATTTTAACCATCCGATATTAATATTATATCCAAGTCCTTTATCTTTTCCACTATCATTCGGATGACCTTCATTAGGTGGAAATGCATCATAACAATGTAATGATATATAAAGTACTCTGAAAAGAACATTTGTTATAATTGTTGTTTTATTTTTCGATGAAGAATTTTTTTTTTACCCAGGATCTTCATAGAAAACATCCTAGAAATAAATTAAATTAATAAATTAAATTTCAATTAAAATCTTTACCTTAACTCCATCACCCATATGATAATCAAAATCAATAATTAAAATTCTAAAATTAATTTATCTTTTTTTATTTTAAATCAAATTCAAGTTTTTGTAAGCCATGCGATCACACAAAGAACATCACAATCATCCAAAAAAAATTAAATCTTCATTGGACACGCAAAAAAAGTTTCCTCGCCCAACATTCCTTAAAGCTATAATTTGAGTGGAACTATTCTAAGATTATGCGCGAATTTTTTTGGGTTCATAAGTCTCATCCTTCATTTAAATTTTCGATTTCTTTCAGACTACTGCTACAGTATGCATTTCAAATTCTCACGAGAATACTTTCGAACAATGCTTTTACAAAAACTAAGTAAATGGTTCAGTTTATGAGCGAATTTGTATCTGTTTAATATAAGCACAAGAGAACTTAACATCTTCAGGTTCTACACTAATCACACATGCTAAATTTTCCTCACAAAATCTAGTCAAAGCAACTTTATGCCATTAGGATCTAGTAAATAGAAGTTTACTTGCCAGTCACTGGCTAATATAAGTTACCAAACTGAGGGAAGAAAAAAAAAACTGTCTTGCACATTTGTCCAAAGCTATTACATTCTCCAGACCTCATCTCAAATGACTGTTTACTACTTTCAAAACTCAAATATCAACTAGATGAAATTGGATTTAACCAAAACAATGCAATGATAAATATGTTGAAATTAGACATGTGCAACGCCAAGCTTTTTTTGGTCTCGCACATCTCTAGTTAGAATAAATCATTACCAACTTCACTGATGTTGTATAATTCAATGCACAAATGTATTTCGAATTCGATACGATACTTTGAAAAATAACACTAGCATTAGCCTTATAAATCTAAAGGACATGCGGAAAAATTTTTGTAGTCGCATATTCAGTAAAATGTCTAGATCGGTATATAATTTCATATGAAGTATCTGTATTTGATTTTTATTGGAGGATCATAATTATTCATGGTTGATCGTGTGGTTTACAAAAGCCCAATAGAATAGTTAGGTTTTACCTCTGAAGATTATAATGTCTTTGTAAATATCTTGCACAAATAGCAACATTATTAAAATAACAAAATCCATAATCTAAACTACAATGAGCATGATGACCAGGTGGACGAACAATAGCAAAACCATTTCGTCCCTAAATTATGAAATACATGATTTAAAAAATTTCACATCAAATAATAATTACTTCATCCGTCATTATTGCATCAATCATATTTAAACAAGAACCAGCAGCTAGAAGAGCATTATCAAATACGTCCTAATTAATAAAAAAACAACAACAACAGATTCTTTTTCTTTTATTGTTCTATAGAAATAGAACAGAAAAAATAATTTAAATTACATTTGTATATTCAACAGAACGAAGTGCTCCTTTTAATTGTTTTAATTGTCTTTCACTCGCTGTTTTTGTACTTTTCATAAGTTCATAGAATTCATCATTATGAGCAAGAAGAATTTCTTCTTTTGTTGCCAGACGACTTGGAATCATTTTACAACGTTGATCAAGACCACGACTTTGAACACCTTTCCAAATAGCTTCTATTCGACCAGGTCGTTCACAATGACCTCTAAATAATTATATTTTAAAACATTCTTACATATCATACAATGTTTAAAAACAATACATATGAGTAATCATTAAAAAAAGAAAAATTATTATTTCAATTACCTTGAATGAAATTTTTTCATTAATTCATCATAAACAAGAAGTGTACGTCTAAAAAAACAAAACAAAACAAAACTTCATATTTATATAAATTAATAAATCTGTACTTTTTACCCTCGTTCTAATGGTTTTTGATGTGGTGCTAATTCTAATGCACGTTTTATATCTTGTTGAATTTTTAATAATTGTTCTTCGGTTTGTTTAATGATCAGAGTAGGAGTTAAATCATATTGTATTGGTCGAATTTTATTATTAATTAATGGAATTAATGCTCTAATAATAACAACAACAAAAAAAAAAAACAAATTTTTAATACAAAATAATCTCCTATTAACTTTACTAACTGTTTACGTTTGGCTTCTTTAATCCAAATTTCACATTTATCCGTTAAATCAATACGTAATGATTGCCAATAATCTTTCAAAACATTTTTACAACAAGCAACCGTTTTTCTGACACTTAAAAAACAAACAAACAAAAATAAATATACAAACAAAAATTCAATTCATATTCTATACATTGGATCAGGATTTGTACATGCTTGTAAAGGTGAACATGGATCACCAAGTAATGAACGTAATGTCCATACAGCACTTTCAGCTAATGTATCAATACAATAACCACCCTTAGAAATAAAGCAAAAAAAAAATAAACTCACATTTGAAAAACAAAGAAAAAATTTTTACTTCAAGAAGTATCATCACTTTTCCATTAGCTAAACCTTTTAAATAATGTGTTAAATGTGCAAATGTATCCGGAGTAATTTTCATTTCACCCTATGATAAATCAAATTAAATTTATTAATAAAAATTCTTTTTTTTTTTTTGTCTTACCTCCGGACAACCAAGTGCGACATCATATCCAGCTGAAACAAGTACTAAATCAGGATCATACTAACAAAACCAAATACAAAAAGGTAATTAAAATGTTTTTCATTAAATAAAATTTTTTTAATTTACTTCATATGCAATTGGTAAGATAATATTAAAAAATATATATAAATAATCGGCATTTTTTAATCCAGTCTAATAATTATGTTTTTTTTTTCTTCGTATAATTTTATTAATATCAAAACAAATTATTTCTCACTTTATTCAATGGTATATTCACATTAAATCCTTGTCCATCACCTTCACCAATAAAATCAAAATCTGATTCAGCAAGACTTGGCCAATATTGACCATATTCATATCGATGAGTTGATATACATAAAACTCTAAAAAGTATTATTTTTATTTTTATCTAACTTTTTTTTGTATTTCATACTTATTCGTATCATAAAAAGCATATTGTGTACCTTGACCATGATGAACATCCCAATCGATAATTAAAACTCTAATAAACAAAAAAATAGATTAACTCTATATATATATATATACAATCATATTCAAGACAGAAAACGACTAAAATATCGTATTATTATGATCATTCTGTGAACTTTTGCTTACGAATGTCCAGTGACAATACCGTGTATACACTATTTTATAATATATATTTGTATGCTTTTTACTACCTCTATGAGATATTTTCTTATACATCCTTCTCCCAATCTGAAGACCTTCGTACGACTTCCGAATTTATACTCCGTTGTATATTTGACAGATCTTGATGAGTTTTATTTGATATCACGTAACAATACCTCTATAATCTACTTGATCGTGATGATAGTCGTTTCACTAATTTAGTGATGAAATTTTTTTCTGCTATTAATATGAAGCTTCTGCTGATTTTTTTCTCGAGCTCTATCCGACTCAATTAAGTACGACTTTCGAAAATGTCTATGTGTCACACTTAATCATGGTTAGGATTTCCCGAGCTGATGTTTTAGTGAAAAAAGTCAACGAAACATTTGTCGAAATTTATCCATAAGTACATTATATAACAGAACTCATCCGTGTTGAACCCTCTTTCAATAGAAACGAATTTCTCAATTCTTACTCCTCAACCTCAGTAATCTGATTCCTGATCAAACTACACTCTATGTAACTATCCTTGGTACAATATAAATCAATAACATTGAGAGTCGATATATTACGGTACGGATTGGTTTTTTTTCATCGTCTATTGTCAACTTGGCTTCTTCGATTGATTTACCTTTGTAAATTATATTTTTCAATAGCAGTTTTTGCAGTTATGACAACATTATTAAATAGACAAAAACCATTCATTTCATTTTCCATTGCATGATGACCCGGTGGACGTACAAGAGCAAAACCATTTTGACACTTGAAATAAAATAAAATATTCGATAAAAACGAATTAAACGAGAAAATTCTAAACCTTATTTGTCATAATACTATCCAAAAGATTAAGTGAACCACCAACAGCTAATTTTGCAGCTTCGAGTGAAAACTAAATAATTAAAGATAATAAAAAAAAAGCAAAAATTTTTTTTTTTTTCGTTTTAACTAATTTACTTCATTCATATAAACATCGTCATATGTTCGACAAAATTCTTTTAATTGTTCAATATTTTTACATGGTGCTTGTGATAAACTTTTTAAAAGACTTTCATTATGATACAGTAGAATATCATCGTCATTTGCTTTTGTACACTAGATAGAAAAACATAATATTAAGAAAAAAAAAAAAAGAAAATTCAATTAAATCTATAAACCTTGACAAAAAGACAACGATCAAATAATTTTAATTCACGACATCGATCAAGAATTGATGATAAACGAAGAGGACTTTCATGATGATCTTTTGCCCATGGACATTCATGTTTAAGCATTAACTCATCATAAGTATATCCAGTTATTGCAACCGGCTGTGTAGCCATTCAAATAAAAATAACAATCTAAATTTTAAAAAAACACATATAACTGATCACTTTTTATTCATCATATTCAATACGTTTGAGAAATATGGATTTTATGAAATTTGATGATGCTTATCGATGGTCAATACGTAAAAGGAAAAACGTGTTTTCAATTTAAAAATATAGTTTTATTATCCATCCAATAATAGTTTATGATCACACATACATGAATCATCAAATCAATGTTGAACTAGAAACTTCTTTTCAAAAGCTCCTATCTAATGTTATATGAAATATAGAGTATTTATGATTTAATATTATTCTGATCAACTAAACAAATCAAATATCTCTTGTATTCTTATTAAAATGTCACTGGAATATAGCGACATACCTTCTGTCACACTTAACAATGAAATGTATATAGGTGAATATAGCGGATAATTTAATACATCTATCATAATTTCTTTTTTTGACATTTCCGTCAAATTCTGATGTCCTCTCACGAAGTGTATTCAATATTAATTGGCAATATCTCATTACACTTTTTATCTTTAGATTACGTATTATTTTTTTTTTAATTTAAAAACATGTGGAACAAAGAAAGAACACAATAAATTAGGTAGATTAATTGGTTATTGCGATTATCCATTCAAGTTTTTATAATTTAAGATGTCGCAAGATGACAATAAATGCTTCCTCGGATAAGTGTCGATCAATTGAATGAGTAATGACTTCTGTCTTAGGGATATTTTGAATACATTTAATTTCAATCTTTGACTTAATATTTTATATAAGATGCTTATGATGCAAAATTCAAGTGAATTTTATTTCGCATTGATTTATCTATAGTTTGATAGAATTTGAAGAGCTGATTACCCATATATTTACTATTTAGATCACTCTTTCGTTAGGAAAAGCTCAAAAAATTAATTTTTCAGATTTTGTTTTATTGCTAAGAAAATTTAATATTTTTTCTTATTTTGACGGCAAAAGGGAGAAAAAATAATCTTTCTACACTAGACTATATGTATCTTAGCAAAATCATTTTCCCACACAAAACATACTTGTACTTACCCTTAACATTTTTTTTGAAATTTGCCTATGGTCCTTCTGAGCTCAAATTTTCAGTTGAAAACAAAGTTTGCTAAAAAGTATATAGCTTGACGTAGTTTTCCATGCTGATTCCGAATATACTATTTATTTTGTTTCCAAATGAGTTTTGATAATGAAAACTGCTATATATAAGACAATACTTTGACATTTATGTCATCAAAACAAGAACATATTAAATTTTCTTAACAATAAAATAAAATGGATACTTTTGTAACTTTAAAATCTAATGATTTAAATGAGATAAGACATTTGGTCTTATCTTCTCTCACAAAAAACTCGATCGGTATATAAAAGTGTCTATGAACACATGTTATAAGCCTACATATATGGAAAGCGGTTTTTACATTATGAATTTCAAATCTAAGGAAGTAATATTTTACTACTCAGTTTTTGATGCTGAATTAGACAAAAGAATATTTTCAGAGACTTGAATGAAAACAATAAAAAATAAAATTTATTTTAGTTAAATCGATAGATGGAGCATGAAAATATTTGCATCCTTATTAGTGTGTTTATTAACCAAATATATTTTCTTTTCTTTTATCTTTTACTAAAACAAAGTAAAGACTGGATGAAAAAGGTTAAAAGAAAAAAAGAGAGAAGAGTTTCAATTTCACATATCTTATCCGTTTTTCTAAATTGCAAATAATCATTTTTATCATTGTACTTTGCACAAAAATCCTTTGCAAAAAAAATGGCTACAACAACAAAATCTCGTGTTGATGTACTCATGATTGGTACAGGAGAATATACAACAGGTTATGTACATGGTAAAGCAAGTCAATCCGATAAGAGTAAAGGAGGTATACAAAATATTCATCAAATTATTTATTTTAAATAATAGTGTGTTGTTTTTGTTGATATATAGTTGTGGCTTTAACATTAATTGATCTTCGTCGACGTGGAAAAACCAATCGTTTAGGTATATGTGGAACTAATGGAAAGAAATTTGTTGATATTCGAAAACATATGCAACAAGCTATTGGTGATGTTTATAAAGATATGGATTTAACAATGGATTGGTGGTTGGTTGATATGTTTTTATTATGTTGATTTTCTTAAATAGAGAAATTTTTAATTTTTATTTTCTAGGCCTGGTGACGATACTATTGATAGTCGTGCATATATTCAAGCTCTTGATACATTTAAACCTGGTGATGCTTGTGTTATATTTACACCTGATGATACACATTTTGAAATAGCATTAGAAGCTATACGTCGTGGAATTCATGTTATGCTTACAAAACCAGCTGTGAAAACATTAGCCGAACATCGACAATTATATGAAGAAGCTAAAAAGAAAAATGTACTTGTAATGATTGAAGGTCTGTATTAGATTTATCTACCTAATGTGAATGACTCATAGTAAATGATCGCCCTTTACATATCATATGTTAATCTTTAAATATGTTTTATGAAAAAAAAAACAGAACGCACCATATGATGTAGCATAAAAAGTTCTGCACTGTACACAGTAAGCAAAATTCTATGCGAACAATTTTCGATGCTACGAACATAATCATTTTTTTTTTGGTAAATGATCAGTTCGCTTTTTTTTTGAATCTCGTCAATGAAAGACAATTCTATTCATTGAGGAAAAATATTTCTTATTAGAACGTGTTTATACTGTAAGTTGGTTAGAAGCAGACTAACAAGGCGATATAAATCAAAAGACTAAAGAGAGAAGAAAATAATAAAAGCTAATTTTTTTTCAAAATTTGAACCATTGCAGACTACGCTACAGGAGTCAAAAGCTTACAATGCTTGAACTTTCATAGATTTTTCATACTACAGTATATCACTGTGCCAGATACACACTCCTATTGTATTACACTGTGTTCTATCATTATCTTTAGACATCTATAACACATCCTGTAGCTCGTTGGAGAACTCCGAATTCTATTCTTTTGAGATCCGATGTGAGAAAAATCTTCACACGAACTTCATCTTATTCAAAGTTTTGAGGGTGAGAATGAGGTCTCTATTCGACACACATCCACACCCTATTGATAGGACTTATAGTCACTAAAGTTTTGTACGAAGCGAAATAGTAAGAAAATAATCCCTACTAAAACAAGTATAAATTAATTCTTTTTCTGATAACCATAAACTAATTTTATGAGAAGAACGAAAGGACACGTTATAATAATATAGATTAAAATCAATTAAGATTTAATGGTAAATCTGAAATAAAGTTAATGATTAAAAAATGTTGAATGTAAACATTGAAAGAAAAGTATGAAAGGTAATAAAAATTGAAAGGCTTGTACTTCTCTAGTTCCATCTGTAATGATTTAAATTCTAAAAAAATTAAGTTTTTATACTTTATCAATAAGACAACACTATGTCACACATTTTATCGATAATCATACATGACCACCAAATAAATAATCCTGATTTCAATGTTCTAGATTATCACGTATGAAATGCTATAATCAATAATATGTAATCAGATATAGTTAAAAACAATGATTCCTTAATCGATGAAATAAGAAAAAAAGATACCGTTCTTAGCATCGAAATTTGATCGCATAGAATTTTACTTATCTTGAATACAACAGATTTACTTTTTAGATTGTAGAGTTTTTCACACTGCATCTTGTGCTACATTCTGTTATTACTTTTTAAATAAAACGTATCTAGAGAGAGATTATAATATGAAATGTAAAGTGTGCTCATATATTATGGATCATTCATTATTAGTAAATTGTTTGTTTTGTTTAGTTCATAAACGTTTTGATCCAATGTATAGTGATGCTCGAGATCGTATTCGAGATGGTCTTGGTGAATTTTCATATTTTTATTCTTTTATGTCACAACCAAAATTTCAATTAGATACATTTCGATCATGTAATTTAATATTATGTTTTGTTTTTCTTTAAATCTGACAAATCAAATTTTCATTTTAGGGGCTGGAAAATCTTCTGATATATCATATTATCTTAATAGTCATCATATTGATTTTCATGTTTGGTCATTATATGGTCGAGCTCGTCCAATACGTGTTACAGCAATGGGTTCAACAGGTGTAGCTAAAACACAATATTATATTGATACAGAAGATGTTATAACTCTTTCTGTACAATGGATTAATCTTGAATCAAAAACAATAGGTACAGCTATTTATACATCATCATGGATTAGTGCAAAATCTGATACACATACACAACAAAAATTTTATTATGTTGGTCATCAAGGAGAAATTAATATTGATCAAGCACATCGAGGATATACAGTTGCATCAGATACAAATGGATATTTAAGTATTAATTCATTATATATGAAATTAATACCAACTGATGGTAAGTTAGATCTAGACTTTTTTTTTTCTGTGAGTAATTTATTTACAATTTTTATTTTGAAAATAAAAAACAAAAACAATAGGTTATTTCTCGGGACAAAATGGTTATGGTTATCGAAGTTTTGAAGCATTTATTGATGCTGTTACAGATTTAAATATGAAGAAAATTGATATGAATACATGTGATACTAAATTAGCAACAATTGGTACTACATTCCAAGAAACGGCTGTACTTGAAGCAGGTCGCATTAGTTTGGATAATCAATGTGCAATGGTGGAAATTGTCTATGAGAATGATACATCACTTGTTCCTATTGAATTAAAACTCTTAAAATAATGTTATTGAACTAGAAATATACAAGTGTTTTTTTTTTGTTTCGTATGATTTATACATTCGATAATTTAAAAAGAAGAAATTGATTTTGTTGATTTAATAAATAAATTTATATCTTGACTATTAGTATTAGAATCAATATATTACGTTTTGATATTTCCCATAAAGCCTTGTTTTTTTAGTATTAACAATTATATGGTTACTTGCATCTTAATTGTGTCGATATTATGAAAGTTTAGTATAAAAAAACTGTATCCGTGGAAACCCTTAGAGGGTTTCCGAACTCACGAAACCTTCAAAACAATATATCAACCGGAAACATAGGAGTACCTATACAGACTTCGACATCTTGATACATGTCATAGAAAACTTATCAAACATCCAGAAAAACGATCTCTTATCAACGGCAGGAAGAATGCAACTAAGTTGGAGATGGAAGTCATAAATTTTTTCTCATATTCATACCATTTTGCACAAAAATTCTGTAAACCCGAGCGAAAACGAACGTCAAAAAGAAAATTCAAGTATCAAAAATGTTCTTTTGAGAGGTTTTTGGATTCTTATCATGATCTTTTCGTGGGACATTCTGAATATTTTTTTGAACTTCGAAAACTGTTCAAAATATCAAACGAAAATTCGAATACTGAGTTTGGTTTCCTATTATACTTTTTTGAGATTCAGAAAGTTCGGAAATTCTTCAGGTTTCTGATGATATACTTCGAACAACAAAAAAGTATTTTCCATATCCCTTCGGATATGAACACAGTTTTCCTGGCAATATTAGTTTCCTATAATACCTTTACGATTTCTGAAAATATTATTAAGTTTCCGATAGCAGAAGAAAGGTAATCCAAAACATCCTCAGGGCGTCGAAATCAGTATTTTCTAAAATCTAAGGTTTTCTGAAATATCGGAAATCAAGAAGATCTTTTCAGAAACGCTGCAAGTGATCGAAAACTCTCTCGCAAACCTCTAGACGTTTGCGAAAAAATTTCTGAATGGGTTTGGATTTTTCAGAGAACGAATTTTTTTTAGAGAGCACTCACATCCAACTGCATACATACATTTGATATTAGTGTCGATTGGACTTTTAAAACAGTAAGTTATATACAAAGAGTTGAACATCTACTCAAGGATCTAGTGAGTCGTAGTGACGAGCGTTACTTGTTTATAGCAGAGATCCACGAGTCAGACTCGTACTCTAGCGTACGCTAATGCAACATTGAGCAAGTTTATGCAGACCCGGTGCTATGCCAGCTCGTGGTTTAGGATGTTCTAGAAGAACACTGAAAAAACGAATTAGTCGTTATCAAATGTGTTCACAGAGCAAAACTCAAAAGAGGCGTGGGACGCGCGTAAGTATGAGCTATGGTGAGAGAATGACTCGTGGACCTCGGGTTTGTTGCCATAATGATATAAAATGAATATTACGTACCTCGAATATTTATGAAATATCAAAGATCTCTTTCTTTTCTTTCTACTAAACTTGTTTTAAAACTTTAATCAACATAAAAAGTTGTCTTATTTTATCAACTAACTGGTAAAATCTGAAAATCTATTGAAATTATAAAAAACGTATTGGAATTGAACAATCCGGATCAAATAATCGTATTATATGGTCCTGTACAATTTTATATGCCAATCTTAAAGCTACCTTTTCTAGTAAAATCGTATTGTACACTTCTAGTATGGTTTTCTATGGTTTCTCAAAAAGTTGTATTCCTGATTTTTCTTCCACATTTCGGCTTCTGTCATCTTATCTTCTTAAGAAAGTCTTTTATCTCTACTTGGATATACATAATTATTTATAAAAATTACAAAAACTAAATGATAACACAAATATGCCGTTAAAATATATGAAAAAAAAGGAGAATAATAGATTTGATCGTTAAGATGAAGTAAAATAATAAAATAAACAATTTAAACAAAAGAAAATTGACTTCTATTGAATCAAACTCATTAAATTATCTATGCAGTGATTTTTTTTTAGCAGATCAACATCACTACATAGAAGATGTATTTTCAACTCGAACAAAGATAGTGTCTAAATTAGAACGTATTTAATTGCGCAAACCTATTGTCATCAAAACTAATTATAGAAGTGAAATCTAAAATTATGATCTTGTACGATTTTCGTAAAATTTTTTTTACATGGAAACATCTTCCAAAAGAAGATCTGTATAATGGTTAACCGTAGAAAGATCGAAACTAGAAAGAAAGCGTGCGGGTGTGCATTTGTTCACTTTACTCAGACTCACAAACCAAAACAATTGCTATTCAACCTCGTTTAGATAATCTTTTTGAACGATATTATGATGGTCTTATGAATGATGCAGCAATGTCAATGTTCACTTTATCTAAAGTCCGCTGAGAATATATGAGACTTTACATACCTTATGAAATGTCACGTATATCAGTAGCAATAGGAAGTGTGTTCCAGCGGACTTTTTTGTTCTCTTTAGGATTTGTTTTTCATATGAACTAACTCATTCAGATAAATATAAGATAGATTTGAATAAAACCAAGAAACACATTACATTTATAATAGACCAACTGATTTTTTTTTATTAGCAAACGTTTTTTTTTATGAAAGTATTTTTCTAGAGGATTGGATATTGTCTCTATTTGTATGTGTTATCATCTGTGAAACATGAAGGTCTACATCACTCCAGATCCATCTTTGTGGTTCTGCTGCTGTGTTGTTTAAGTATCGAGTTCACCATTGTTGAAAGGATAGGATTTTATCATCGCATAAGAATTAATATTTTTGTAAGTCATATTGTGTCTGGGTTTTGTGGTGATCCGTTGACTATGGATACGAATAGATGATGATGATGGTGCTGGTCGTGGTATTGTTATTGTTGAATGACGATCCTGACTAGTAAATACAATACCAAATTTAGCTGGTGTTCTTTGAGATTGTATTTCTGTTGATAGTTTATCAATTTTTGTTAGTAGATTTGTTGAGGTTCCACCTGATGGTGATGAAAGAACGGTTGAAAGTTTGTTTGATGATGAAATTTCCGATTCAGTTTGAATTATTGTTGATGATGTTTGTTTTCCATTGGAACTACTTTCGGTTTATCATCATCAAGTTTAAGTTTTAATCTGTTTTCCTTGATCAGAACTGAAAGACTCTTAAACCGATTTTCTTCAATTCACATCAGTTTTAATACATTATTTAATCCATATTAAATCAAATATAAGTGAAATTAATCATAGAAAATCAACGCAATTTTAATTTGTTTCGATTAGTTTTCATTATAATTCAATAAAGGTGTACAACTTTAATCAACTTTTGATTAAATAGTAATTGATTTTCATCTTTGTTTTCTCTAACTTTCTTTACACAGGGAAATACTAGATAAACTCTGAAATATTAACCTGTATTAACAGCCTTAACGAAAAACAATTAAAATCCGTTGAAAAGAGAAAAGTCCTTCTGTTAAAAGAAAAGTGACGCATGAAGATGGTAAAGTCCCTCTAAAGTCTGCTGAGAAATAGAAAAGTTGGGTATGCTATCGGTATGGCATAAATTTGGTGTTCTTTTCATTGACTAGTAAAGTCCTTCTATTCACTAGCGGACTTTAGGTAAAGTGGACAATTTCGGGATCTTTGACAGCCCTCCCCATTTCGTCGACACAATTTTTTTTTCTGACCGATTTCAAAATTTTACTGAAGAGAAAGAAATAAACTAAACAATAATGACACTATCCGACATTGTTAAAACGAATGTTACCATCAGTAGAAAGGTCAGAAAAACACTTTCGATTAACGGATGTAGATGTAGGTATTAGGCTTCACTACTTCCACGCACTCGTATTGTCAAGTGATACCATTGACTCAATGCAAATATTGCTATCTCGAGTAAATGTGAACAAATCTTCACGAAATACAAAAAAAAAACCTTCTTTTTCGGAATCAACAAATTCTTGATTTAATGAAACAATATCAACAAAGTTTCTTTGTCATCAGATGAATATTTTAACATTAATATTTTGTTGTAACTATCTTATGAACTTATTGAATTATATTTTCAATTCTATTTGTTGCAATATCTATCTCTAATACAAAATTGTATTTGTTAATTTTCTTTTTTACTAAAATATTGCTGAATAAACAGCGTCGATGAAACGCGACCCAACCATATGTTTATCATTTTTGATTGTTACCAAATCATTATCTTCTACGTAGTATGCTACATCGATTTTTCATTCATTACTTTCTTTTTTTAGATTTTTCTGTACCCATGATATAATAAAAATATATAAATACCTTGAGGTCAAATGTCATAGAAACAAGCACATGGAAAATGTACGTAAATGACAAAAAAACAGAACGCAATAATGTGACGTTGAATGTTACCCAGTGGGTAAATTTTTGTTTCTATTTATTAATAAAATCAAAGCAGTAGAAATTTCTTTGTAATTCCTCAATGAATACGTTAAATTCCCATTGTAGAATTCATTAATACCAAATTATATTTTATTTTGATGATTGTCAAAATAAATAAGTTGAAAATTTCTTGCTTAAACTTTTTCTCTGTCAACAAAAAAAAAAAAGAAAAACAAGAACGTTGGAAAAAACCTATAATACACGTACACCTTTTATGTCATATAAGAGGTTTTGTAAATGCTTACTTTTTTTTCTTTCGTTTTTCGTTAATACGTCAAAACATTTACAATCAGTATGCAAAGCAATATTACAACTTTGTTATCACATAAAAGCGACCCACGTTTATTTGCTGAAAAATGTGTTCAACGTGATTTGAAACAGATAAAAATGAATACTGAAGATACAACAATTATATTCATTGATCCAATTGACGCTAATTATTTACATCTTGAAGCAACAATTACAGGACCAATGTCAACACCATATGAAAATGGAATTTTTTTACTTCATATTAAACTTTCTGAAGAATATCCAGTAAGATTTTAAAAAATCTTTTTTTTTAAAATAAATATTAAGTTTTTTTTTCTTTTTAATTTAGTATCAACCACCACAATCAATAATATTTAAACGAGCTACAATGCATCCAAATATTGATGAATATGGTAACTTTAAGTCAGAATTATTGAAATTAGAATTTTGGTCACCAACTATGACAATAAAAGATATTTTAGAACATGTATGGGCACGTCTTGCTATTCCAAATATTGATTCAAATGAATGTGATCCAACTCGTGCTCAATCATATAGAATGGATAGATCTCAATTTGAAATAGAGGCACGTGAATATGCTATAAAATATGCATATGCAACATAAGCCATTAAAATAAATATATTGTTCGTTTTTTTTTGCATATATTCATTTCTCATCGTGAGAAAATCTTATATATTACTTATATATATGTCTACAAATTTGACTATGTGATGAGACAAAAACCAGATTTTTATTGTTTTCTATTAAAGTTATTATTTTTCTTTGATATCAACGATGATCCTTTCTATATTGTTTGATATATATTCAAAGATATAAAATGAGAATTATCGATGGGATCGAAATGACAAATTAATTTTCTTTAATGTTGATTTTTTCACAAGAGAATTAACAGAAAAAGTTGACATTTGAATAATGGCGTCTCTTTCTTCGAATGTATCATTTTATTTAATTGATTCCAACTATGTGAAAGGAATGATCAAGTTGTTTTTTTTTTTTACAGGAGAAAAAAAATGATTATAATGCATGTGCATTAGTAGAGAGTGAGATGGGTTTTTTCAAGCACGTTTGCTTGTTGTTTATTATGACATCACAATTGAGTTAGCTAGATGTTTTTTTTTACCAACTTTTGCTAAACATAAACAAAAGTACGAATTATGAAATTATTTGTAATAGTGATTACTTTTCTTAGTATTATTGAAAGTTTAAATAAAGTTTTAATGTTTTCGATCTTTGAACTAAACAGCTGTGAAAAGGATTTTTAAAATGTGATAACGAATCAATTCTTTTTTAAGTATACCAGCTCGTAAATTCAGTGTGAAGCAATCTCAAATTTCGGCAATGGTATTTGAATTAATATAAGAATGATAAACGATTTAACCTAGATTCGATCTTGTCCTGTGGAATGTTTTCATTATTGCTCCTACTCATAACAGCCGACTAAAGATTAGTTCACGACTTTTCATTATCTTGGGTACAAGATGGAGGCTAAATCGTCATTTTGCGGAACTTACTGAAAATGAACGAAAATTCATATTGAAGATTCAAAAATGTTTGTATCATCTCGAAACATGGATCTCTTTGGCAATGTTCGAGCTAGGGATGCACCAATTCCAATTCTTGGCTTGGAATCGGCGGAATTGGTCTGGAATTGACTCCAGTTACGTAAAGTATTAAAAGTCAGAGCTCAAAGACTTCAAGACTGAGGTTTCTACTGTTTTCCTCTCGGTATAAAGAGATCAATTGATTACTTTCGATGTATAATCCTTCATGTTTATGATTTATGAGTAAAAATGATCAAGCACAAATTTAATAATATATCATAATTTTCATATCGTATCATTAGAGTTAAAAGGACATTTTATCACTAATAATAATATTCGATAATCAACTGTTATACTCAACTAGAACTTTGTAGAGTCAAAATTTTTGATTTCAAAATTCGAATTCAACTTTGTCAATATTTTTCGTCGAAGTTCGACTTTGAAAAACTTCGAAAATATTTTTTTGACTACCATATATAATCCATTTTTATTCTATTCGTTAATGAGGCTATTACTCGGATGCTTTTTTTTTTCTCGACATTTGCTTATGAATCTATCAAGTAGTGTTTTTTGTTCATTATATGTGACATATAAAGGACAAATTTATTATTATATAAAAGTAAAAATACTTGACTATTTTACTAATCTAATTCCGATATTGACATCGAAAAAAAAAAATTTTTTTTCACAATTACTCAGACTTCGATCGAAGTCAAATTATGGAGATCGAGACAAGAATCTCTACTTGAGACAAATAAAGAAAATTATTCTTCATTTTTATAGAACCTTGAAACGTTCAGTATTTTTTTTTTCTACGCACGTCTTCTTTATCTTCTTATGTATTCTAATAAAAAATAACTAACAAAATAATAATACACATTAAGTCATTTATGATATTTCAGTTATTCGTATCATGTAGTTTAACTCTATAAAATATTTGCCATTCTTGCTTCAATATATTTTGGCATATGAAAAAAACACATCAATTTTTTTTTATCAGAAAAAAACCAAAAAATAAATACAAATTTCTTAATTGCTATTTAAGTACAACTCATATTCATGTCATTTATGCTTATTCAACCGAATAATATAAATTTTTGACGTTATTTAGAACGAAAATGAATCTTTTGTTGTCTAGTGCATCAGGTATACTGGACTATTCACAGTGTACTTTACCTTTTTTTTTTCCATTTCTCTACAATAATATGAAATTCAATAGACGCAAAAACACAAATGACATATGTTACTAAAACAAACATTTTATAAGAGTGTTTTAATATTGAAAATAAATTCTCTGTTTATTTTACTTTAGTATGAAATAGAAAATTTATTCTATTAACTAACATTTCTGTAATATAGTGCCATCTTTTATTGTCAATATACGCGGATTTTTTATACATAAGTATAAAATTGTTGTTTTGTTATGCTTTTGCTTTTTTTTGGTTTCAATTTCAACAAATAAATTTGATACTTATGATATAAACATAAAATCAAAATAACATCACACAAGATATACAAGTAAGTTGATTGATAGTTGGATGTGTATATGAGTGTGTCCGTGTGTATGAATGAATGGATTTGTATAACAAAAGAAAGAAAAGAAGAAAAAAAATGTGTATCAAACATAACATAAGAAAGATATTGCTCAGCTATTCGCTTTCACTTTATAATTTTACATCCATAATGTGTTACTTTCAGACGATCCTCTCCTTATGAACCATGTTTATATTTAAGATGTCGATATATTAATAAAAATAATGATTATCCAGCTCCTATAAAATTCGAATAATGTCATTTAAAAAAAACACATTCTACATGGCTTCTGCTAACACATAACCACACGTCTTAGTATATGCGCGGCGTGACGACGAGAAAAAAGAAAAATTCACTCTCTTGCTTCTCTTCATCCGAGACGACCATGTATGCTCTATCTTTTATACGTATCTTCGTCCCCATTTTTTTCCTCTCATTTTTATCATTATTCGCGTCCATGAGAACAAGCTGCAACCATTTACATTAGTCTTTATTCTTCTTCTCTATCGTGTGCTAGTTACAAGTAAGTGCTTTCTATGAGTATCATTACACTATTTCATATAAACAAAATTCATTTTCACATTATTACTTTCATATAATAAGACAAACTTTATAAAAATAAAAAAACGAAGAAATAACAAAAAAAAAAAAAAAAAGAAAAAAAAAAGTGAATTGATGGTCAATGTCATTATGAATATAAGAGTGTTTGTTTGCGTACAAATGCTACTACGCAACCTTCTTGCATATTTGTATAAAAATCATTTTTTTTTTCCTACATCCGAAGGCATTTTCATTATTTGTAATCAAAATGAATATATTCAAGTTCGTTTTCTTTTTCTCTAGATCATGGATTCACCACCATCGGTAACAATTAAGTTAGTTGAAAATTTTTCATGAAATTTTTTGTTAATTGTTCAAAGTAATTTTTTTTGTAGAACTATTAAACCTAAAGAAATACTTTCAGAAGAAAATCGACAAAAACAAATGAAACTATGTTCATTACCAATTCGTCTTGTTTGTGAAACATTACTTGTATTACTCATTTTTGGACCATTACTTTTGTTTTATGCAAAATGGCCTGCTGGAAAAGAACATATTTATGGAAAACTTCGGACAGTAAGTCTTTTTCTAATCATTAAACAAATTAAAAAAAAAATAATTTTCATATAGAAAACAAGTCTTGAACCGACGTCAGCCGGTTTTGAAAGTTGGACAAATCCACCTGCAAAAACAATACGTGCATATCGTTTATTTAATGTAACAAATTATATGGATGTAATGACTGATAGAAATGATCCTACAATAGAAATTGAAGAAACAAAACCATTAAGATATCGGTAAATTTAATAGTCTAAAGAATTCTAATTATATTGAAATTCTTTGTTTTTTTTTTCTTAGACTTTTTGTTAAAAAAAATAATATTAAATGGTTAGATGATAATAAAAAAATTCATTATGCTCTTGAACGTTTATTTACACGTGAAGGAGATTTTGATGAAGAATTACTTAATCAAGAAGGTGCTTTTGTTGATATTCTCCGTGTGGTATGTTTTATTAGAACAAAAAAACAAAAAAAAAAGAATTCAATGTTTATTTTCTAGATGTTTCGAACAAAATTTGGTCGTGTTGCTAATTCAGTTTTTTATATGCTTGGTGGACATAATGTTTTTAATTATTCAAAAGTTGTTGATAAATTAGAAGGTTATGTATCACCTATATTTTCAGCAATATCATCAAGAATGCAAGGACCAAATAAAGAGAAATATGGATTTATTTATCGAGTAAGTAAAATTGACGAATGATCGAAAAGTTTTGAGACAAGATATTTGTTAACTGTTGACCCGTTAGAAATTGAATTTCATGCTCTTTGTGAATATGAACTTCGAAAAGTGACTAGAAGTTTTTCGATGATTATTGACTAGAGAAAGACTTTATCTAATAGTGTATGCGTTATCAAGTTCATCTATGTACTTGTGATATGTGTTGATAGGCGTTGTCACGATTAGAATGAATCGAGATGACGATGGCGCCATCTATTGATATGTCAATCATACAGAATAGAGCCTGATAATGCATACATCATTAGATAGAGGAAACTTTTATGGACAAGCCTATATATATGTCCCAGGCAAAATTAAACTTTAGGCAAAATTAAACTTAGGTAAAATTAGTTTTAGTAGGCGCGAAAAAGGAAAATTTTTTTTATTGATTGTTGATCTGACTATCAATAGAAAAAAATAATTATTCGTTTACATAAACTGTAAATAAAAAAGCAGAACATTCATTTTCACATATGTAATCGTATCATAAGTACAGTGATGACTTCTCATTCAACATCAGAAATTGAATCTCGAAAACAATTTTATGAACAAGCAAGTAAACATCTTTAATCTTTCAATAGCAGATTTAGAGAAAAGATTGTACTCATACAAGGCATGAATGAAAAGATCATTCTTCATCGCCTTATGAATAAGTCTTCAACAGATTTCGATTAACGTTTTACACCTTGGTGCTGCATTTTTGTTGTACAAAATACTGACTTGAAAACTTTACTATGCGATGTAAAAATTGATTAACCGATGCTACTATTTGAAGCGATGAAGAATGTTTAGAAATATAATCATGTTGAAACCGTAGCTTCTCAAACGAAATACTTTTTTGAATAATATACAGCTACTTGATGATTAAGTAGCTAATTGTTTTGTAACAACCTTTCGTTTGCAGCCGTACTTCATGTCACAATTTAAACATTATGATAACTTTTTAAAAGAGCTTAGTTGGAAAAACAATATATACAGCTATTATATGATTAAAGTGTCTAATTGACTTCTAACAAAATTTCGTGTTGGACTTCTTTTTATAATCAGCAATTGAAGGTCTACCGCTACATAAAAATCATTGTACTTATTTAAACATTTTCATACATATCTTAATTGATTTGATAACTTATTACAAGCAGGTAAAAGAATTCAATTCTTGAAATGATCCTTGTTCGAAATAAAACGATTAGAGTAAATGAGTACCTGAGTATTTATTAAAAAAACTACGCTTATTTCTTTAATGTTGTTAGAAATTAAAAGGTTATTAGTTGACGAATTTTCTTTTTTTTTCGGCCCTTGCTCGAAATAGATCAGTTACCATAAATGGCTGGCTGAGTAATCATAGAACAGCTACGGTTATTTCATCAATATTATTAGAGATCAAAAGGGTATTAGTTGACGAATTTTTGTCATTTTTTGTCCTTGCTCGAAATATATCAGTTAGAAGACAGGAGTAGCTGAATATTTCATTAAACAGCTACACTTTTTTCTCCAGTATCATAAGAGATTAAAAAGTTATTCGTTGACAAATTTTCTTTTTTTTCCCCACACGACTAATGCATGATGCGATAAATGTCTAGATAGAGTTTATCGATGAACTATAAGAAGTATAATCGATGTCCTTTAAAAATCTTTATAATACTTTGTCTTTCATGTCGAAAAAGAAAATATTACAAAAACCAATATTATCAATATTGCCAACAAGTTCGTTTTTGAACATTTTAACATCTATCTTTCACATTAATATTCTAAACATATAGAATAAACAGAACTTTACCCTTGAAGTATATGAACAAAGATGTGAAAAAGGATTGAAATAAACATAATCTTAGTCCTCCTCCTTTTTTTTTCTTTTTTTGGTCGGGTAGGCGTTTTCTGCTAGCGTAACTGGAATAGCTGTTTTTTTGATTGAATGATCAAAGTTTAGATGTAAATATTGTGCTATTTATCAACAAAAGAACTCTATTAATCCATAGCAACATGTTTCAGGCATATTATGATTGATTATTGAATCATCTATGTGATTCATTATATTTTATCCGCTATTCTTACGGTGATCATATATAAATGACTTTCCGAGAGATTAATATTTATCACAGTTTTTGTTGATAGCATTTTATATTGAATCGTAAGAAAGACAATGTCCACATAAGTCTATTTATCGAGTTTTCTGTGAATAAACAGATCTTGTTAATAAAAATCAGAATCAAAACAAATTGTTGATATAAAAAACTCAACGACAATAAATTATTAAAAGAGTGAAAAAAATATCAATAACTTCGTTGAAAGACTATAATTGACTGCTATTCAAACAATATATATTGTCTAATCTTTCGAATTTCTCGCCTTTCAAAACTCAACGAGATTTCGACAGACTATACTGACCAATTCTAAAAATTTCTAAAATCAATTAAATTTTAATAGAATACAGTAGCAAACTCTACACCTTCCTATATTTTATTTAGATTTGCATAGAAAGACGTGGCGAACTCTACATCTTCCTAAATTTTAGTTAGATTTGCATTG